GTTGGCAGCACAATTCCTTACCCATTAGGCCACCAGAGCTCTAATTTTGACATCTTGGCAAGTCAAAATTACCAAACAATGGAGAGAAGATGTTAAAAAATCACATGGATTCCAGCCTCTCTGGAGCAGTGAGGCTGAGGAAGCCCTGAAACAAGTGCCTTGAGACACTTTTTGAAACCTTAACCCAGAAATATCCCCTGATGTCTTCTTAAAACCAAACAATAATTTCACTCACTTAACTAGTAAAGAATTAATGGTGCTGCTTATTGGTCCAGTTGTGAAGATTTTTGTTTTCTTTGTGTATAATCCATACTTAACATTGGGTTTTTGGTCTTTGATTATCAGAATGCTCCTTGTAAGGTCAGACAGTGAGACGTTTTATGGTGCTCTAGGAGTGTAATACATGTTGAGGTACTAACAGAAAGATCAGTGATTCAAATCCATCGGCAGCTCTGTGGGAGGCAGATCCTTTCTTCCCATAAATATTTACAGCTAAGAGTCAGAGTTGACTTGATGGTAGAGTGTTTCATTGGGTGTTTGGTTATGAGGATGGACCAGTCCTTGGCAAGCCTATTTCACCTACTTCAGACCCATTACTAGGTGGGACCAGTCCCTAGAGAAGGATGTCACATTTTGTAAAGTGGAGGGTCAGCAAAAAAGGGGAAGACTTCAGTGGGATGGCTTTACGCAGTGGATGAAACACAGAGATGACTGTAAGCATGGTGCTAAGCCAGTATTCTGTCCTGGCATGCACAATAACATCCCCCAGTCACAGAGCCAGCGGAACAGCAACAATTCCTTAAAGTCATATTACAGTAAAACAAACCTTTTTTACGAAGAACTGTATAAAAATAGGCACTTAGGAAGATACTAAATTTACACAGAGGATATGTGCAATTGTCCTTAAGCACTTCCTGTCACCCCCCCCCCCACCTCCTGGTACTTGGGACACAGTCCAGGTGGCCACAGTAATGGAGCTCAACAGCAGGGAGAGGAGGATGATTTTCTGACAAAAGAGAGACCATGAATAATACGCCAAGGCTTATCACAGAAATGAGAGGTCGTCTTTCTCTGGGACAGCCAGGGTCCTTAGAGGCAAGAATGGCAAAGCTTTCTCTCATGTGTTTTGTACATTTTGTTAGGTCAGTCCTTGGAAAAAGACATCATGTTTGGAAAGGTGGGGATGTTAGCAAAAGAGAGGATGATCCTCAATGAGATGGACTGACACAGTGTAACAATGGGCTCGAGTGTATCAGGGATGATGATGGCACAGGACAGGGAAAGGTACAGATGTGCTGTTCATAGGGCCACTATGGATTGTGGTTGACCCTAAAGAACCTACAACAGCAGCTGGCTTGTGGTCTCCTGACCTGAACCAGAGATATAATTGCTGACTGTGTTTCCTCAGGCTCCTATGTTAGCCGCCCATGACCTTGCTCCCCAGTGACAAACTTTGGACTCACATCAGCCTGAAGCCAGCAGCCTGAGACTGTCCACTGATGATTTAGCCTCCCCAGATGCCGCTCTCCTGAACCTTGACTACAGATCTAGGCTGTCAGCTTCCATACACTTGAGTCATTTCCTTGGAAGAAGTCTCTCATGAGCTTTGCCTCTCTAGAGAATGAAGGATAAAGACAGTGACTGTCCCCAAAACAGCAGAAACTACCACGATGTGGTACCCACTCTTCAGGGAGGTAGCTCAGGAGCATCTTTTCAGATAACCTCACTCACTTCCAGGGGAGACATCCCAGTCACAGCAATTCAGAAGGCCTGATCTGGGACACTGTCACAAATTCATCCTTTGTGGCTAGATTTCTGTCAAGATTCCACATAAAAAGAAACACTTTTCAATCCAAACTACCAACAGCAAATATGTCCATGAAAAGAAACGAAAACTGACCCACAAACATGGTGAGGTTTTGGGTTGTTGCTCTGCTTTGCTTTTTAAGTTGTTTTGTTTCCCAAGGCCTGATGGGAAGGCTAAGGGTTCCATGGTAGCTACCAAGCAGTACGGTGGAGCACACATCCCTCTTCTGCAAGCAAGGACTAGACAACGAGTCTCTTGATTTAAGAATATTTTAATGTCCATTTCCTCAGTGGATGAGTTTGAAATGATTGAGAATTAACAATTTAAAAAGAGCACAGCAAAAGAAATGTAAAAGGCAATCATTTGTTTTTGCTCACTGAATTTCAGATTCTTGTCAGGATGTGATCCCTTCTCCCCCATACCACCAATCAAAAGATAAAAAAGGGGGGGAAAAGCCTACTTGGAAAATCTATGAGTTCAAAGACAGATGTATCTTTGGATACAGGTTATTATTAGCCCACGTGATGGCAAGCACGCTGCCTTTTTATTTTTATTTATTGTTTTTGGCTCTCCATGTCTTGTGCAAAAATGCTCAGGGGATGCTGCCAAGGGAAGAGGGGTCAGGTTGAGTGGGGTCATGCAAGGTTGGGGCCACCTGGGGGCTCTCTGAGCTGTTGGGGGTTCCCAGAATGGATGCCTTGTGTATGTCTGTTGGATAATATTATGTGTGCTTGTTTATTGTCTATTTCTAGATATAAAATGTCATCTGATCTTGAAGGACAAGAAGAAAAGGGGGCTGCAGCCCAGAGCAGCTATTTACACACATTCAATGCTGAAATATTGCTTCCTGCCCGAGGTTCCTAGGAGGTACTGCCGCCTGGAAGATCGCTTCCCTCTCATGGCTAGTGCTGAACCCCGCTGAGACACCCAACTGTCCCCTGCTCAGTGTCCCCAGACTTGGATGCTATGTCTCCATTGTGATCTTTGCTCCAATTTGAGGTATGCTTTAAGGCAGGGACCTGGGCGGCCAGTTACCACTCATGCTGGCCACTCCTGAAAGCTCAGGGAGGTTGGTCAGGATGATTCTGAACTCTAGGTGGCCGTCTTTGATTTCAGTACTCAGGACAGCAGACATCCACGGAGCTGCTCCTCGTCCTCCTAGGGGTCGGGACCACTGCCAGCTCTGATGGTCAGAGAAGCAGCTTGGCTGGCAGGAAGCATGGAGCGGATGGCACTCTGTGGAGGACATATGCCTTCGGCAGCACCAAGAAGCTGCTGGTCACTGGCCCCACTCACCACCTCTGCTGTAGCTCTGGAGGACAGACCTCAGGGGGACATGCAATCCTTGAGGACATCTCTTAATACTGCTGGAATTGTACTCCCCAAGTGTCAACAATTTCTACATTCAAGAAGAGGGCATCAAGTAGTGTTTCTTAGGAAGAAAAATAAAAAAAGATGTTAAGTCCTACATTTCTTTATAAGAATATTGTGAGAGGTACTGCCACATCCATCTTTCTGCCATATGGGATGATTGGCACTGTGATGGCATCCTGTGGATGACTCTCACATGACTGAGAGAGCTCCAGGTTCCAGGGCTCTGTGATCCCTGGTGAGCTGGCCATGTCAGGCCTCCCTCACACAGTGTCTGGAGAGGGTGAGTGCTGTTGGGACGTGCTGCTGCTAGGTACACTGGGCAGAACACTGGACAGTGAAGGACACACGCTAGGGAGTGACAAGGGAGATTTTCATGGTGTCATCTTCAAAACAACCACACAGCAGTTTGGCCATTGCAGAAGCTCCATTATTCCCTGTTCAGCATGACCACAAAGTCAGCAAGGCAGGGCCAAGGCTCATGTGGGTTGGATTTCCCTGGTTGACATTCCTCATTTGCATATAGATGACTATCCCTAGATCCAGTGTAAGAACTCAGAAGAGGGTAGTGTCAGCTCACAACAAGAAATTCCACCATGAGTGGCCAGCCAGTGCTGTAGCTGGACAGCTGGAGCTCCTGCTGACACAAATATAGTCGTGGGCACCCAGTCTTCCTCTTCCTTGGCTTGGCTTAAGGGCAAGCTCCCACCATGGCAGTTCAGATTCAACCCTCGGTGCTGGGTAGTGTTCCAAGTGCTCTTCAGACCCTTAAGTGCATTTGATGTCTGGAGAAGGGGTCCCCATCTAGAGAGACCCTCGTGGTGATGGGGGACTTGGGTTGAGAGTTCTTCCTGATTCTTTGCTCTGCTGTAGCCCTTTTCCAGCTTCCTTCTACCAAGACCCCATGACCCTCACACACACACGCTTCCTGATAAATAAATAAATAAATAAATTTGACCCTGGGACATATATTTTGAGTTTCTCTCTTAGACGAGATGTCTTCAAAGACTAGTGTCTTGGCTCCCAGTTAGAAGATTATTCGGAGGAGGGTTGTAGGAGCAAGGTCAGCTCTGGAGAGACCTGGGCAGGCCTGCCTGCCAGCAGGCTGTGACTGTCTTCCTGGGAGCGGGTGGCCATAAAGAGTGCTTGGTGCTGACCCCAGAAGGCCTACTGCACAGTCTGGTAGACCGGGAGAGGGCTGGGCATGGGTCTTTCAAGAGCTGGGGCTGCATGACTTTGCAGAGGCCTCCCCTTCCTGCAGACCACCACGTGCTGCCCTCATCCTGGACACACTCCTTCTGGCACTTTCTGTCAGCCCTGTGAATGTGTGTGTGTGTGTGTGTGTGTGTGTGTGTGTGTGTGTGTGTGTGTACACACTGATGTAGGAAGGTCCAGTCAGGAAGGACATTATTCTGTGTACAGAAAGGGAAATACCCTCCAAAAACACCCTCAGGAACACTGAATTACAGAGGAAAAAGTGTCTTGTGAGAAAATGCAATAAAAATTATTATCTTAACCACAGCTTCTGATTTGAGAGTCAAATAGCATCTAGAGCCACGTTACCCCACGGCCTCCCCACCGGATGTGGCGGCCCAGGCCAAGGCAGGCCCTTGAAGGCACTTGTCCACTCCCACACTGTTGAGTGGGGACATGGAAGTGGGGCAGCCTGGGGAGGGGCATCTGGCAGACAGATGAGAGGAACCCTGAAGAGCCAGGATGCACACACTGCTCAGGGCTGAAATGAGTGTGTAGGGAGATATGAAGGGCAGGACAGCCACTGTCCTGTCTCATGGGGACACAGCACCGTGGGTAGCTGCGCTAGTCACATGGCCTTGGTGGTATTGAGCTTGGTCAGCTCATTGGTGTCCTCCAGACCAGTGTCCTCCCCGTCACTCCTCTCTATGGCTTTGCTGAACAGGGGCCTCTCCTCTGCTCTCACAGGCTCCCGCCGGGGCCTCTGGGAGGATGCGTAGGCATCCCTGGCCTGTGGGCTGCTGTCCGAGGTCTGTACAGAAGGCACCAAGTTGGCAATCTCATCGGTGGGTGACCGCCCAATGCTGCCATCCACCTGGACGCGGATGTCCGGGGAGATGGACAGCTGGTGCTGCGGCACAAGCCCACTGTCTGTACACTTGGGGTACAGGTAGGTCTTCATCTGACCCTTCCCCTTGACATTTACCGTCCCACGGTAGTCAAACTCATAGCCCATCTTGCTCAGGGCACGGTAGCTCTCCTCGCTCACCTGGATGCGGCACTCAACGCCAGTGGTATCCATGCGGCTGGCGATGTTGACGGTGTCCCCCCAGATATCATAGAGCAGCTTGGTGGTGCCAATGACGCCAGCTGTCAGAGGCCCGTGGTTGAAGCCCACGCGCAGCTTGAAGTTGAACCACAGCATGTTATTGTTGAAGTCATCCACCACACCCATCATTTCCTTGGCGAACTCAAATAGGACCTGCAGGTGCCCCTGGGGATGGCTGCCATCCTGGCACTGGGCCGTGTTCAGCCCCGAGGCAGCCATGTAGGTGGCTCCAATGGTCTTGATCTTCTCAATGTTGCTGTAGTCCGGCTTACTCAGCAGCTCGTCAAAGTCCCCAATAAGCTCATTCAGGACCCGGTAGCACTCCTTGCCACCCTCGTAGTTCTCCTCATAGAACTCACTGAAGTTGACGATGCTGGCAAAGATGACGCCCCCGCTATCGTGGTTCTTGGAGTAGGTCTGGGAGACCTTGAGCTGCTCAGCCACGTGATAAGGGATGATGTTTCTTAGCAGCCAGTCCGCCTGGTCCCGCATGCTCTGGATCTTGGTACGGTGGAGGTCGGCTTCTACGTCTCCGTGGTAGTGCAGGCGGTAGCTGACCTCAAACTCTCGGTTCAGGAACCAAACCAGGAGCAGCAGAAGGAAGCAGCTCAGCAGCACTTCCTGGCCGATCATGCTGGCTGGCTTCCTGCTATTCTGGGGCTGCGAGCTGTTGCAGAGACTCCCCTGGGAGCTGCGGGCAAAGGGGAGAGAAAGGATAGGCTTTTTGAAGGTACTGTTTGGGGTGAGGGCCTGCCTAGTCCTCAGGTCTGGAAACAGCCCTGCTAAGTGGCATCTAGGCCTCAGCTCTGCCAAGGATGCTCTCCCATCACCAAGCTTGGGGCAGTCAGTGCTCATTGATTTCACAGAAGATTCAGAGCTGCCGAGGCCTTTACTTGGGCTCTGCCATTGCCCTAGTTTTCAGAAGTCTTAAGCTTCTTGATTTTTAAAAAAAAATTTTTTTAACTCTTAACTTACTTTTGGAAACTTTACAGACTAGTAATCCACTGTCTCTGGGCTGATTCCACTCACAGCGACCATCCAAGATGACAAGGACCTGCTCTTGGGATGCTGAAGCTCTGCTGGGTGCTGTGCTGTCACTCAAAGGCCACACCTCTTCAGTGGCTCCACGGGAGAAAGGTGGGCAATCTTTTCTGTGGTCAGCTGTCAGCTAGTTCTGACTCACTGGCTGGGAGCTAAGAAGCTTTACGGGGGCACATTGTTCCAGCTTTCTTGTGCAGCGCAGCTGATATTCAAACCTCTGACCTCTGGGATAGCATCCCTGTGCTTTCACTAGCACATCATCAGGGCTGTTTACAGATTAGTGGAATACTTTCCATTTTAAAAACTTCATAAATTCATAAAGTCAACACCCATGCACTGTACATGTGAATTAAAGAACTTAAAACTTGCCACAATCTGCCCTTTCTAATCACATCCCTCACATACTCATACACACTCACATCTCATTTACCCCCCCACCTATATTCACATACCATACATTCACACAAGTCGTGGTCTTCCCAATTACTTGTTATGCTTCAGAGAGCAGAACAATGACTAAGGCATACAGAAGAAGAACAGATTCCTTTGAGTTGTGGTGCTGAAGAAGAGTTTTGAACATACTGTGGACTGCCAAGAAAACAAATTGGTCTGTCTTGGAGAGGGTGAAACCAAGTCTCTCCTTGGAGGCTAGGATTCTGAAGTTTCATCTCACATACTTGGGGCATGTGGCCAGGAGAGATTGGTCCTTGGAGAAGGACATCATGCTCAGAAGGGTGGAGCGATAGCACAGGAGAGGAAGACACTGGTTGAAATGGATTGATACAGTATCTGGGACAATGGGGGTGGTGTGTCAGAATTAGTGAGACAGGATCAGGACAGGGAAGGATTCAGAGCTGCTGTACATAGGGTCGCTATATGTCACAGGCGACTCAATGGCACATAACAACAACAACATACTATATTGATTGTTATTTATCTTAGCCTCTTGTTTTGAGTCAATAAGCCCTTGTGAAGGGTCTTTGTATTTAAAAGTCAGTCGTTATTATATTTTGGAGGAACATTCTTCTAAGTGGTACAGTACTCTTCTGTCAATATGCTGTACTGAGGTAACCTGGGGTTGCTGTGATGCTGAACCTTGTGCTACTGGGGTGTCAAAAGCCATAACAGTTACCCATGGTGGACAGTGTTTAGTGGAGCTCCCAGTGTAAGATGGGTTTGGAAGCAGGAGTGGCATCCACTTTCTAAAAAAAAATGCCTCTGGAAACTCTATGAACTTTGATAAATGACCATAGTTATAGAAAGGCTTCAGGATCGCTATGAGTCATGCTCAATTCAATGGCAATCAACAACAACAACATTCACACTCCCTCCAAGTACATAGACCCCCCCATTCACACCTCTTCACATTCATACATTCCCCTTACACACACATACACACTCCCCACACACTCACACTCTCATACATCCTACACTCACACCTCCACACACTCATACTTTTCCCACACACACTCTCACATCCCCAAACTGTCATACACCCCACGTTCAGACATTCTCCCTACACACACTCCCTCACACACTCCTACATGCACTCTCTTATACACACTACCCTGGTATCTTCTCACATTCATACATCCCCCATACACTCTCATACACGCTCCTCCACACACTCCTACATGCACATTCTCATGTGCAATGGGAGGAAACACTAGTAGTTCTGCACCATCTTCACAACTGCTGTTGTTGAGGTCACCTGAAGCAGGCACAGAGGGAACCCAATGTCCTAATATAATACATAGACATGCTTTAATTTAGTCTGGTCACTTGGCTTATGCTATCTTTGATGCTGACAAACCACACAGCAATCGGGATCCCATGAACTGGTTCTTTTCAGGGAAGCAATGTTGTGATGTTCTTGTGGCTGATGATCAACACAAATGTGCTGATGATACATAGACCATGCCCATCTATGAATGCAGCAAACAATGCAGCCATAAATATCCTGTGTCCATGCTTGGAAATGTAGAGGATCAGTAAAAAAGAGGAAGACCCTCTGACGGATTGACACAATATATATAGTGATAGCAATGACTGTGATGATAGTGCAGGGTTGCTGGGTATGACTCTGTTGTACATGAGGTCACTAGGGCTCAGAACCAACACAAGGGTCCCAACACTAAATAGTACTAACCTTAAAGTCAGCAGTTTGACCCCACCAGCTATTCCTCTGGAAGACGAGGTGATGGAATCTGACAAAGATCACAGGCTAGGAAACTCCACGGGGCAACCCTACAGGGCAACCCTATGGGGCAACCCTACGGGGCAACCCTATGGGGCTCTTCTACTCTGTCAAATGGAGGGCATGTCACAATTAGGAACAGACTCAACAGGAACAGGTGGTGCAGACAAATGGTTACCATGTATGGCTGCTAAATGAAAGGCTGCTAAATGAGGGAGGAGTCCGACCAGAGCCGCCTGTGAAAGGCCTGGTGACCGTCTTACCAGGGACCACGATCTGTTCTGAAAGGTGTGGGTGGCTGAGGGTGGCAGCCCAGAGGACGGCAGCCAGGCAGCCTGCTAAGCAGCATCCAACAACAATATCCATTTGATGATCAGCCATTAGAACAATATGGAACAATACATACATTGCAGATTGAAGGAGGGGAGGGGGCTTGAAATCTGTATGAATGAGTGAATGAAAACCATTTTCTTTTTAAACTTTCATTCAAATAATAATTGCTCTTTAAAAAAGTAAAACATCCCTTTATCCAAATGAATTATCTAATATCTGTGAGACAAACTCCCAGAGGTGGAATTGTGGTGTCACTGGATATACCACATATTTAGACTTTTTTTTTAAAGACATTTCCAAGTTGTCCTGATTAGAGGTTATATGTTACATAGGGAAGATTTGCTAACAAGGATCTCTTTTAAGTGCTAAAGAGCAAGGATGTCAGTTTAAAGGCTAAGGTGAGTCCGATGCAAACCATGGCATTTTCAATTGCTTCCTACGGATTTAAAAGTTGGAAAGACTGAAGGAAAAAAAAATATCAATGCCTTTGAATTGTGATGTTGGAGAAGAATACAAAAACAAGAATAAGAAGGATTTCAAAAACAACAAACAAATCTGTCTTGGAGGAAGTGCAACTAGGCTGCTCCTTTGAGATGCGGTGGTGAAACTTCATCACAGACTGTGGGCGTGTTGTCAGGAGGGGCCAGTCCTTGGAGAAGGACATCTTGCTGGGAGAGGTGGACGGGCAGACACACCTTGACTGACGAGAAAGACTGACACCATGCCTGTAAGAAAGGGCTCCAGTGCGGGGGAGATTACGAAGGCTGAGTAGGGTCAGCAAGGTCACTGAGGTGACTCAAAGGCACCTAACCACTACAAGAGGTGGGCAAGGCTGCTGAAGTAACTCAATGGTACCTAACCACAAGAGGCTGAAGCCACTTCTGTTCCTCCAATGAGTCAACCAACCTTGTTTGCATGAAGTTGTTCCAAGGTGGGATGGTGCTGGGGATTGGTGGGCAAAAAAGCCACTCTTTCTCAAAGTTTATGTGAAAAATATACACATTCCTATTCATAAATACTTCACAGATACAGTGCATCATAGACTAGGAAATTTGGAGTGGGGGCCTGAGGCAATCACATTAATACTAATTTATTTCTAGTCCTTCTGCTTTTCCTCCTAAACAGTGTCATTCTGTGAATGGGCTCCGTTCATATGTTATGTAGCCCAAGGTATCTGTAGATGCTGTTACATGTCACAGAGTCAATTATGACCCAAAGCCACCCTATAAACAGCAGATTTGAACCCTGCTCCCTACCCTGTACCATTCTTACCTTCTCTGATATACCTCAACCCATTGTTACAGTCACTGTGTCAATCCATCTTGGTGAGGGTCTTCCTCTCCTATGCTGACCCTCTACCCTCCCCAGCATGATGTCCTTATCCAAGGACTGGCCCCTTGTGACACCATGTTCAAAGTATGTGAGATGAAATTTCAACAGCCATCTCTAAGAAGCAGCCTGGCGGCACTCCCTCCAAGACACACTTATTAGTTTCATGGGACAGCCCACTATATTTTATGAGCAATGGGCCTGCCCAAAACTTAAGAAAACAACTCAACTCATTACCATGGAGTAAGGGCTGCTGTACACCTAACCCTCCAGTGGGTTTTCAGAGACTCTAAGTCACATTGGAAGAGACTTCCCACCTTTCTTCCATGGAGCTCTTGGTGGAATGGAACCTCCAAAAAGGTGCCACATTTGTGACAGCAGTGCAGCTTATTGCTGAACATGCCACCAGGGCTCCCTTACAGTCTACAGCACTGAAAAAAATCCCAAATTGGTGCAATTTACTGTCAATTTGGCATGATTATCAGTAGTTGCCCATTGTGCTGCCGATCCTATCCCCTAGGACATCAATAAGGCAGAATTAGAGGCACTTAGGTAACGAGGCCATCAGCCTGATCTGATGCAGGGGAAGTGTGGTCTGCACTGAATACACATATGGTATGGACTCTGGCAAAGATGGAGGACTTGCCTGTGGACACTGCACCTGGAGCATCACCTCCAGGCTTGAATAAGCAACTGCTCCAACAGCTGCCCTTGGACTCTTCAGCCTCTACAGACACTTCTCTCCTCATGTCTGGCCCACAGAGCTGGGACTTGCCAGCTCTACAATGTGT